TAACTTTTTTATTCTTTTATTTGAATTATTTCTATTTTTTACTTATTTAAAAAAAATATTATTATGTTATTATTTTTTACTTTTTATCAATTTTTTTTCACTCAACTTTATTGCTATCACACAGGCACAAACAATCCCCTGTGTGATAGCATTTGAAGGTGATAGATTCTCTTTATTGAACCTGTCACCTCCAATAAAGGTGTTCTAGCACAGTACTGTGCTGGCTCTCCTGTGATAGCTGAGATGGGAAGGCTGCGGGTGCAGCTCTCCCGTCTCAGTGTTCACATGGAGCAGAGTGGAGAATGGATGTTCTCTGCTCCCCGCTCTCCATCCTAAATGAATGTGCCATGGAGGGGGGGGTTGGAGCTGCACGCATATTACAAGTAATCTCGGCAACAATCACTTTAACTAAAACACCAGCTTCCCCGCTCTACATTTAGCCCTGCTTGCCCTAAAATTTAGAAAAACAAAAAACTACCCGCCTGGCGTCTCTGCTGCCCCTCTACTCCCTGCCGCCCTGAGGCCAGTCCTTGGTGGCCTTGGGGGAAAAGCTGTGATAGCCGAAGCGCATTAGAAATCTTTTTGGTTACCCGGGGATACTGCTGCAAATTACATTTATCAGAAATATGCATGATGGATGGACTGACCCTGAAAAGAAAGCCATCACTCTCTACTGTAAAGCATGTAGATCCATTCCCATCTTATATACATACCGTTTGTCTGCAGTTTGGTAGAAGTCAAAGGAAAATCCAAAGTAGCTTCCTTTAGGTCCATAAAAGATCTGTGGGTTGTGTTTATCCAGATTTAGGGCATAAGTATAAAAAAGCATCAGAGGCAGCAGCCCCAGCAGCATGGTGCTCAGTCCCATTACAAGAATGACTAGAACACACTCGGACCTCTCCTCCTCCTCAAATAATCTCTGTATATATCTCAGCACATACCTTCTCTACAACTCCCACCTCTGTTCTGCTTCTCAGTAACTTCCTGGAACAGCGCTGTACCCCGCTACATCTTCCAGCACATCACTAATCTTTACAGTATCACAGTCATTTTCTGATCTGTATTTTTGCACTTCCTTTACTAATGATTTTTTTCTGACCCAGCCAGTTATCGGTTTATGCCCTTAAAACCTTCACTTTTAATTCTTGAAGTCTGTAGCTGTAAGTATCAGTACTCACTAGCAAGTTATTTTTTAATGCATTAATGCTTTGCTTGGAGACCCTGCTGCCAGACCTTTCATTGAAGCAACCATCTTCCCATAAGATAATATGTGCATGTAAAGCAGAAGTAAAGTCATAACAATAAAAGCACGCTGGGAGGTTGGGATTTTTGGCAGAAGAGACATGGAGTTAGGTTTATTTTTTGTTGCAAGGATCTTGTTGTTGTAAAAAAAATAATGCTGGATGGAATCTTTGTTCCATGCAGCAGCCAACAAGAGCCCTGGTGTCATGTAAGGCAAGGTTAGAATAGGGGTGCTTAATGATTGTTATGCTGGCGTCTTATGTTATTATTAGCAATAATTTTCTTGAAGCTCCAAAATTTTTATTTACCAAGACACCTCAAAAGAATAATTGTCATCACCTCTAGGTGTAGAAAGGGGTTAGGTCAGATCCCATAGTATTGCCCTCTTTGTAGCATGTGAGACGGATGGAGTGTGAGCCGCCCATTGAGAATGTCAATGAAGCAGTCAGGTGACCACTGTTATGATATTGCCATTAGGGGAAACATGGCAAACTAATAGATTTTCCTCCTCTGGGGATGCCTGGCACCATCTTGGGGAAGCATAGGTCTTAAATGGATCCAGAGTTCCCACACAATCAGAATCATAGGAGGGCCCAATACTGGGGAATGTAGTTAGGGACAGGACCCTGTCTGGTGTGGGTAAGTTAGTTTCTGAAGAAATCCTTGCCTCTATTGCAAGCAGGCTAGGAAATTAGGTCTTGGGCCCCTGGAAGAGATTAAACTTTGGGACTCTCAGGGTAGTGACCTGCATGTTAGGAAGCGCTGAATTCTGCTTCATTAACACGTCTAGGAAAGCAATATAAATTTGTTTAGCAGTTAAGAAAATGGCAACCAGGAACATAAGAGAAAGTCCTCTTTAGTCTTTTGGTTGTAATTGAACTTCCATTGTCCTGGAATCCTATAACAGTTTGGAAATTGTCTTTCTTGTTGAATAACCTGTTAGTTTTAACTAATGCTCTGTGGGCTACCTGCTACATGGGTATACAGAAAGGGAAGGAAAGAAAGAAGAAATGAAGGGAAGGGATAAAGGAAGTAAGGCGATGTAGGAAGAGGGGAAGGGAAAGTAAGGAATGGAAAGAAAGAAAGAATGGAAGGGAAGAATGATGTGGAAGGAAGGGATTAAAGAGGACGGAATGGAATGGATGAAGGGACGCCTGGAAAAAGACCAAACAGGACCATACACAGAACAGGTCATTCTAAGCCTGATGAAGGGGACCCTGTTCGGCCCTGAAAACGCTTGTACTGGAATGACAGTACTCCATTAATAAATTGACTTTTGTTGATTTCACTTAAATGGTGTGCTGGTGACATCCTTTTGCAAACTCATACACAGAACTATACACAAATCACAACTTGGACTATACTAAGCCTCTATTCTTGCTGAACCATTAATGGCATAGGACTGTTTACATTAAGCGGGTGTTGGTATAGGGCTGAAATTTACTGCTAGATGCCATTGAAAGAGGTGCAGGTGCTTTCACTAGCATTCCTGACATATTTTAGTAAAATTCCACAGGATAACCCATTGAGTGCTACAGTTGTTGTAGGATCTGACTCTTCTATAAAGACGGGGAGATCTGTTCTTGGTACAGGGAGGTTGAAGGGCAGATTAAAAACAATTTAATTCCATGCAAGAGTGAAAAGACAAAACTCGAGATATTCAACAAAAAACATTATTTTACTGCTAAATAAAAAATAACTACCTTATAAGATATGGTAAAAAATAGATTGATATTGGATAGTTGTTAAGTAATATTGGTTAGTGTATAGGTCACATGTGAGTTGATTTCAGTTGGTTGAAAGTTAGTGACGCAGAACTGGGACTTTTTTTCCACAGCTTAAACTTTACCCTCACATTAGGGGACATTTACAGCCCCACTGACAGACTGTAGACTTCACCACCCAATCCATCTGTGCCGCTTAAACGACTCAGCCGAACTAGTGTACATGTCTTTAGCAGTACTGCAGGGGGCTGTTAGTAATGACTAGGGATGATATTTGGGTTTGTTGCTCCTATGGGCTTGTGGTAAATACTGTGTGTTTGAGGCTTGCAAAGCTAATATGGCAATTAGGCAGAATGAATTCTTTGTAACCACAATGCACCGTCTGGCCTGTTAACTTAGGTCAGCTGGCTTAGAAGGGCCAATAAATTGTCTTTTGAATAAGCCAGCCCTCTCACTATAAAAGGGAGAGGTCAAACTAGCCATACTGATAATTAGGGATGCACCGATACCGGTTTTTCGGTATCGAGTACCGATAATTTTTTTACGCTACTCGCCGATACCGGAAGACCCATTAAGGAAGCCATGCGGCGTGTAATGACTTGGCACCTGGCTTCCTGATTAGCCGGCTCCATGCTCCCTCATCACCGAGTGATAAGGGAGCATGGAGCCGGCTTTCTGGCCAATCAGAAAGCCGGGAAGCAGACAATGACTAGCCGCCAGGCTTCCTGATTGGCCAGCTTCCAATCAGGAAGCCGGGCGGCGAGTCATTGCACGCCACCCGGCTTCCTGATTGGCCACAGAGCCGGCTAATCAGGAAGAAGGGCGGTGAGTCATCACATGCCGCCTGGCTTCCTTAATGGGACTTCTGGTACGGATACTTATTTTTTTGGTCACTCACTGAAACCAAATTCCGATACCGGAAGTCCCATTAAGGAAGCTGAGTGGCGTGTGATGACTTGCCACCCGGCTTCCTGATTAGCCTGGAAGCCTTGCCCCCTCATCACCAAGTGAAGAGGAAGCATAGAGCCAGCTTCCCGGCCAATCTGGAAGCCGGGCATCAAGCCATGACTCGCCGCATGGCTTCCTGATACCGGAAGTTCCGGTATCAGAATAAGTATCGGGAGCATTTGGGCGAGTACAAGTTTATCCGTGCACTTGTCTCAATGATGTGTTCAAGAATGGATTTTTGCCCTAACTAAAGCCGGAGCCTCCTTCTTCATATGGTCCATATACGGTAGTACTGGTAACACCCCATCCTCATCACCTGGGTAAACCACTATGGTCACTTGCACCCCCTTTATCATCTGGGTCAACCATGAACAGGAGAAATAACATTGCCTTATCACCCAGGCAAACAAAGAGATCAGTAGCAAACCCCCCTTATTACCTGTGTCAACCATGGACATTACTAACACTCCCGCTTATCACCCACATTACCAATAAACATCAGAAACACCTTTGCCTTATAATGGGGGTCAAACATAGACATCACTAGCATCAACCCTTTTCACCGGGGTCATCCATGGACATCAGTAACAACTCACCCTTATCACCTGGGTCACACATAGACATCACTAGCACCCCCCACTTATCACCTGTGTCAGCCCCCATGAGCAGTAAATGCCCCTATCACCTAAGTCAACCATGGAGTTTACTAACACCCCTTAATCAGATTCGCTCCTATAGCAGCTGGAATGCACCTATCAATATCTAGTGCAGTCTACAAAATTAAAGGACGCATCTGGTTGGCTACTATGGGTCACACAGATCTGTTCCTTTCCATGTTTTATAATGGAGACCTGCAGTGCAGTGTTACATGACTACATACAATCTACCAGTACATACAACAGAAATACTAGAGAGTTTAAAACTTACTCAATACTTTAATATTATGTTGGAAAAGGTATCAAGTGTTTGAAATGTATAAAACTGTAAGGCATTTGTGTTCGATTTTTATTGAAATAGCACAGGCAATAAAATGAGTGAATAGTCCATTATTTGGCTTCGGTTAAATCTTCCTGATCATCTGATGGGGGTCGCATCCTTCTGAAGAAGCCCAGCTACAAAATAAAATGAAAAAACATTAATATTTCTTTAGACTGAACAATATCTTTCCTAAATTGGTTTTAGAAACCAGTTCATATGACAGTGGCTATTTTGCAGCTCACCTTCCACATGACAAATACAAATAATGCCAAGATAAGTAGTCCCCCAAGGACGCCGAGAATTATCCACCAGAGAGGAATCTCTTTCTGCCCATCCAGAGTTACCCACTGAACCACCGTGACAGTCTGAAGTAAGATGAAGAGATGTCGGAAAGGAAAAATACCATGAGAAATTATAGCTTAATATTGGAAATATTTTATAGAATTGTAGTTTCTATTCCTGAACATAATACATAAAAAATATTTTCTATTCTTAGGTGGGAAACCAGACCTGAGGAACACAGCAAATATTACCACCACTGTGTCCAAACCACTATTGTATATTTGCTGCTTCTTGTTGGAGACCTACCATAATTAGTCCTTTATGTTCCCCATCATAAACATTCCATGAGGGGAATTTATCAAAACTGGAGGAGGCAGGATTTGGAGCAGTTGCCCACAGTAACCAACTTCTCTCTTAACTCATTAAGGACCCATGATGGAATTATTCCGTCATGGGTCCTTAAGGAGTTTTTAAACAGAGTTTGCCAGAGCTCTGTTTACATTTGTAGAGCCAGCTGTCGGCTTTACAATAGAAGTGAATCCGGTGACTCAGCTGCCGCCAGATCGCTTCTACGGGCCAGTAAAATGTGCGCCCTTCAACAGCTTACTTAAAGTAGAAAGGTGATACTAGGGTTCTTTTGGATCCCCAGTAGCACCTTAAAGAGGACCTGTCACTGCCAATATGCTATTACTTGGGGGGCTTGTAAGCCCCCTTATGTGATAGCAATTAAAGTTTAAAAAAAAAACAGTTTTAAAAAATTCACTACCTGGATTTAGCTAAGCAAATAGGTACGAGCCTTCCATTGGATAATTACTGCAGTGAGTAATATGTTTCATCTATCAACACGCTATTTAATCCCAACTGATGCAGTGAGTAGCTTCTCATTTCTTAAACAACCAATGATTTTCCTTTGCCTGATGACAGGTCCTTCATTAGCAATTTATTGACAGTTGTGTTTATTGGACCTCCAAAAGTGCTCACAAACAGATCCCAGGGAACGTACATGCTTTTCTGTATCCTTCACAGTCATAGGTTTTATCCTGTAGGGGACACCAATCACCTGGAAGTAGCCCCGGGAAGTCAAGTTGAAGGGCTGCTGAGGTCTCTGTTAGAAACATAAAAGGAGAAAACTTAAATTATATGTTCACCCAATCACTACAATCCTTATATAATCTTTAACATGTTAATGTAACTTGAAAAGTAACATTCGATATTTTTAAATCTGCAGCCAAATCGAATTAATTCCATCCAGTACATACTTTTTTATGTCACACGGTATTTGCACAAATGTTTATTAAACCAGTATTTTTAGGCTAAAATACACTAAAATGAAATTTATTGTACAGAAACAGAATGCCCAATTTGTTGGTAAAATATAAAAGATGGGGTCACGTCGGGTAAATAGATACCAAACATGTCAAGCCTTAAAATTGTGTGCGTAAAACCACAAAAAAACTTCAATACCCAAGATTTCCCATAAAAAGCTTTTACTAGTGCTCATCAGTTTAGTGTTACCAGTGATTGATGGCCCTAGAATTATTGCTCTCATTCTGTTGTGCAAGGTGATATATAACTTGTGTGACGGAACTTTTGCACGTAGGCACACCTGATGTGTGTTTGCATGTACGTGTATGCGGGGTGGGGGACTTTACAAGATTTTTTTTGCATGTTTTTCTTTTTTTATATGTTACTCTAATTTTTATTTTTTTTCACACTTAACTTTATTACTATCACATAGGGGGATAGCAAGCCCCCGGGTAATAGCTAATATGATGTGACAGGTCCTCTTTATGGAGACATCAGGGGTCTATCAGACCCCTAATGTCACCTAGGGACCCAAAAGAAGCTGATGAAGCAGCAATCTGCTTCACCAGCTTCTTCCCTGGCTTCTTCCCTGGCTACAGTAGCCGGAGAATGTGCACAGTGATGCCGGAAGTGATATAATACAGATCACTTATGGGTCCAGTGACCGGAGGAGAGGTCAGTGGCTTGGAATATGCTGATCTCCTTCCAAATGATGACAGGAGACCCTCCATATCGGTCCCGGGCCCGCATGGGAGACAGCAGAGTCCAGGGTGGCCGGCGGTGGGGGGAGCACACTCCGCTACACAGTACAAACAATCTGGTGGCTGTATAGTCGCCGGATCACTTGAATAGCCATCACTGGCCGTTTACAATGGTACCAAGAACACGGCTGCAGCGTTTTCTTGGTAAAACAGCTTCAGGAGGCGGACATTTATAAACGGGCCACCCGCCTAAAGTGGTTAACTATATCTTACTTAGGAGCATCCAAGAAACATTAGGACTGGTAGCCAATGGCTGACAATCACTATGGGACATATTCGTACTTACCTTCATGAAGCTGGAAATCCATAGTATGGACTCAAGTGCTACCGTCACCCTCTGTCCTTTACCCAGATCCTCTATGAAGCACTCAGCTGTCCAGCAGCCAGAGTCAACGCAGCTCTGTAACAAAGATAAATCCAACCTGTATGTATATTATATGAGAAACACCTCAGACTGCTTAAATGCCATTTTCACAAATCTGTATATTTAATCTTTACTTTACAAACAATATTTGGACTTTCGATGTATAGACGATACTTATGTGAAAAGCATGCTGGGCTTCCAAACAAGAAAGGTCAACACTACTTGAAAGCAACATATGTGCTTCTGAATCCCCAGAGATATTGAGACTGTCACAGGTCGGGTCAGTAGATCAAGAAGTGAGCGAACACATACCGGCGTTCGCTCACCTCTCGATCCTGTCACAGCTCTCTCCCGTGACTGGGGAGTGACTGGATTCCCCCCTCCCCGCTCCGATCCTCCAGCGCTGACTGGCGGATCGGACGGGGGAGGGGGCAGGTACAGCTGGTTCTGCCTCTAGATAGGCAGAGCCAGCTGTCACTCACGCAGCTGGGTGGATCCAGACATAATTGTCGGAATCCGCTTCAGCTGCGGCGTCTCAGTGCTCGCGGTATACCGTGGCGTCTCAGTATACTGTGAGCTGTAGCTCGCGGTATACTGAGCTTAGGGTGACGGGAGGACGCTAGTTTGTGTCTTCCCGTTACCCTAAGGAGAACTATGGGGAAAAGCCTTAACCCCATAGTTCTCCTTTAACTATTAACAAAAATGTATCTTATTTGTGTATCACTTGGCTGTAGATCCTCAAATCATCTCTGAATTGGTGCTGACACTGTCCTTCCTTCTGGAGGGGGGCTACTTTTGTTCCCCATGGTCCCTGTGTGTTGTAAAGTAGTCACCGCTCCAACCTCGCTCCCGTGATGGACTACAATCTCATGTTTAGTTTACTCATTTGTATTGAGATTGTAGTCCATCCCGGGAGTGAGCTTGGCGGGGTGGCTACTTTACAACACACACATAGGGACCATGGCAGCAAATGAGACAAAGATGAGGGGCCCTATGTATCAACGTGACCTTTACAATAACTTGAGTTCTTGGAAAGATCACCAATTATCATCAGACCATAACAACTTTGAATTTGAGTGGTAGCGGGGAAAGATAACTCCACTTATGTCAATACATAAGCCCTATAGAGAGGTACAACAGTAGGAAGATGTACGAGGAAGCAGCAGGATATAAGAAGAGGGAAGCTGGAAGAGAGGAGAAGAGAGAATGAGAGAGAGCGGGGGGGTTTGAATGTTTAAAAAAAAAAACACCAACATGCTTCTGATTTCCACTGGCTTTGCCTCCAGTCTGAAAGCATTTGCTTTCAAGTTTACCTCCATTTTGTATGCTGGGCTGTTGGAAACAATGGTATTGCATCTTCAATAAAAGCAGATTGAAAAAGCTATTGGCTACACTTTACTAAACATTACTTTTGATTTCGATGGCACAGATTTTTCCTTGTGGAGATGGTTCCTATATAGTCATGATTGTTACCAGCGTAATGGGCTGTTTGTTCTGGGGTCCATCTTTAGCGTTTGTACTGTTGTCTGTCTCTGCATTTCCACCATCTTGAAGCATGCTTGACACCTCTCTCTTGTTCAATCTGTGATCATCTCCCTTACTGAAGTTTGAAGGTATTTTAGTTGGTTCTACAACATCCAGCTGGGAAGCACAAATAATAAATAACAATTTAGCCAATGCCAGTGGGCTGCATTAAAATGTATGATGACATTATCAAAAGAATCACTCTATCACAAAATTAGAGATATTTTAGGAGGTGGTTAGGGCATAGAAACAGGTTAACTTAGTTGCTTGTATTCCCAGCTCACCCTTTGCTTACTTCCCCCCTTTTAATAGCAAAGAGAACTTTCCTGGCAACCAGTGATATCACTGGTTGCCAGTGCCAGGAGCTGGGCAGTACACCGGCCAGAGGGTCCCTGGTCAGAGCTGTTAGCTACTAGTAACCGGGGATGCTCTGGCCGGTAAGGGTAGCAGCAGGCACACATTCTGCTGAAGGGGCCATGCCGCTCTGCCTGCTGCTCCCCCCCATGTGACCCAAAGAAATGCCTCCTGAGCCAACAGCCTCAGGCTGCCTCATTATAGGACCTGCCCTAAGTCACGTTCATCCTTAGTTTCAATGCCGATAACACCACCCTTTAGTCTTACGATGTGAATGTTGTGAACACTCCTGACCTGCAGAAAGTTGAGCTCAGCAATGGTGCAGTTCAGATTGTCATCAGTCTTCAGTTGCATCGGGTACAGGAAAATGTCACCATCAAAGTGTTCAGGACTCTGAATGACCAGCTTGACGTGAACAGTGCCTGGACCAGCGTTGTGCAGCTATTAGTAAAGACAACAATGGAGTTATTAAAAGGATTGCATTGTCATGCCACTTTGATTTGACTCCACCTTACCCATTCCAAAGGATATATACAATACTCCACCCTGATTGCCCCAAGATCCTCAATCTTTTAGAATATCAATGTTGCCAAGATTGTGACTTTTGTGGTCCACAATTTTGGACTGTTCAGCTACAAATCCAGATAAATGGGCTGTATGTATGATTCACTGAGATAACCTATGAGAACATTTTTTGTGTTTAGATATTGCTATGGCATACCTTCTGGCATTTTAAGAGGGACACCTTGTAGCCCCCCCTATTTACAAAGACCTTGAAGAATTAATATGCAAAAACTGATTTGTTATTCAGTTCATCTCTACATATCCTTTACACTGGATTTTCAAAAGAAAAAAACAATAATTTACAGGATAAACACTTATGGTAAATAACAAAATTGTCAAATATTGCAGCTAGATGTGGTTGTTGCAGTTTTCCTTTTCCGGGCTTATTTCCCTTTATTTTCACCTGGTGATCATGCCAGTAATACACTTCATGTCCTAGGGGAACAACAATCACTCCCTATGGAGGAGCAGTGTTATCACCTTAGGACAGGACTACAGAATAACCCCCCACTACCAGCATCATCACCACTACTCTCTTCATAACATAGGGTTTTCTGTAATCATGTTCTTGGGTGTCAACGATGCTCCTTGAAGAGTGCACAGGAATTTAAAAACTTACTGGTAGGATGAACAGGTATTTTTCACTTATGAAACAGATAGAATAAAACACTTTCAATGGTATATGTAGCAGACCAAAAGGAAGCAAATGAGAACAAGTTAATTGATACTGTTTTTATGCACATTAAATGATACATTTTTCATAAAAGTAAATGCATCAGACCAAATAAAGGGACACCTGAGTGGGAAAGAGAACCAATGGATTTGGTTCCAAAAAGGAAACGGTCTCTCTAAATGAAGGTCATTTGGAAGCTACAGGCTAGGCATGGGTTATAAAATATGGAAAACCCTTTAAATGATTACCTCGTAAACATGCGTCACAATCTCCCCTTTATCCAGCGGCTTATTAGATTCTTCTTTAGGTTTCCAGTTGGGTAAGGGAAGTACAACATCAGAAGGATGAGAATTCCTGGGGAATGACAGGAAGTAATAAACATTTCAGTATTATTCCTCTAAATGCATGGGTCTTATACCTGAGTGAGTGCTAGGTGTGTCAGGTGTGTTGGATGCCTAGCTCCCATCACGCTTTAATCAACTAATCAGCTTCTCAGTTTCCTGTTTCCAGCGCATGTTAGATGAAGAAAAAAATAAGAAGATTGTAAAGAATGCCGAAGTAGACATTTTCCACTCGTGACCTAAGGCAACTGCATTACCTGTACATCGGCCATGTGTGACTGCAATACTGCAATTACCTTTGTAACATCTCCAAAATACGCCCCTTCCTCACCAATGAAACCGCAAAATGACTCATCAACTCACTTGTTATCTCACGTCTTGACTATTGCAACTCCCTCCTCATTGGCTTACCTCTACACAGGCTATCGCCCCTTCAGTCTATCATGAATGCAGCTGCTAGACTCATTCACCTAACCAACTGCTCAGTGTCTGCAACCTCCCACTGCCGATCCCTGCACTGGCTTCCAATAGCCAAAAGGATAAAAATACAACGACTTACAAAGCCATCCACAACTTTGCCCCCGGCTATATCTCCAACCTTGTCTCAAAGTATCACCATAACCGTCCCCTCCGCTCTTCCAAAGACCTCCTGCTTTCCAGCTCCCTTGTCAACTCCTCCCATGCTCGCCTCTGGGACTTCTCTAGAGTCTCTCCCGGCCTCTGGAACTCTTTACCCCAACCTGTCCGACTATCTCCCACTCTGACTGCCTTTAGGCGATCCGTTAAGACTCATCTCTTCAGGAAAGCCTATCCCACCTCAACCTGACCCCTCGACCATCACGTTCTCAAACAATTCATCCCCACACAGCTACCTCCTCATGTATCACTTGCCCCTCGCTTTTAGATTGTAAGCCCTCACGGGCAGGGCCCTCCTTACCTAGAGTTGCCACCTGCCCAGGATTCACCCGGACAGTCAGGGTTTTGAATGCTGTGTTCGGGTTTCATGGCAGCAGAAACCCGGGTTTCCCGGGGGGACCCGGGTCAGGCAGACAGGGGCAACCAAAATTAAGATAGGGGCTACTGGCCCCCCACTGAAAATAGTCTCTACTGTAATATTCACATATGAATGGCCGGCGCTATTTACATATGAACAAGCCGCGACTCATTCTCCTAAAAAAATGTCTGGGCGTCACTTGAGTGTTCGGGTTTCGCTTGAAGAAAAGGTGGCAACCCCATCCTTACCATCTTGTCTTGAATTGTATTGTGACTGTAATGTCTTCCTTATATTGTAAAGCGCTGCGCAAACTGTTGCGCTATATAAATCCTGTATAATAATAACTTTGACAATTTGCAGTAAAGTCTCATTACACTTACCCCAGAAGGCCTAGTGATATTTTAACTGTCACGTTCAGATGTACCCATACAACTGGGCTGCTAGAATTTTGACTGTTTCGGCTGAAAAAAAGCACACAAAAAGCATTTAAACAAGCATGAAAATTGAGCTCCACTATCATATACTGTAAAGTTCCAAGTTAAGACAAATATACTGTATGCTCATTGATTTATAGTCGCAAATTATTTTACTGCGCATATGTTAATTTGCATTATTTAAGTGTTGGCGACGTGCTTTGCATTAAGGCGGCACATTCATTTTGATAACTTGGGATAAAATCTGTGGAGTCACAAATCTGAGAATCAGAAGCAATACGTTGGATTGGAGGTCTCACCTTTTTTTTTAAAGTATTCTTTATTTTCCGTTTTTCAATATTAAACAATAAAAAACACATAGAAAACATAGATAGGTAGTTGTAGTGTGACAAAAGCATAGAGATAACATTTTCCGGATTCCATGCAGCTAAATGCCATTCGGTCTTGCGAGCAGGCAACATTTAACAATATGCATGTGAACAGTAATCTGTATTCAAGAATAACCAGGCTTTAATCTCCGGAGTGGGGAAGGGAGAAAAAAGGGAAAAAAGGGGTGGGGTGTTAGGAAGGAAAGGTAGGAATTAGAAAGGGGAAAGTCAGAAAAGAGGAGAGGGGTGTACCCCTGGTCTGCTGTAGCCCATGGCAGCAATCTCATACTCCACTCGTTCTCCGATTTGTCTGGGAGTTGTAGAAAGGAAGCGCAATAAAACAGTCTGCCATTGTTAACACCAGATCACTATGTTGGATGGCGATGTATCCATGTGGCCCATGTGGAATAGTATTTATCATATCTGTCCTTACTTGTGGCTAGCCATTCCTCAGAAACCTGGATGCCCGATACCTGTCTGCTCCACTCCTCCATCGTGAGTACTGCTGTCTTCTTCCAGTAGTGGGGGATAAGGCGCTTGGCTGCGTTTAGAAGATGGGGGAGAAGGCTGGATTTGTATCTAGCCACGGTGCTAGGTACGGAGTGAAGTAGGAAGGGGGCTGGTGTGAGAGGCAGCTCTATGTCTAGGAGTACTTTAATTTCGGCCTGAATTTGTCCCCAAAAAGGTTGAATTGCGGGGCAGTCCCACCAAATGTGTAGATGGGTACCCATCATCCCACAGTTGCGCCAGCATAGTGGGGACACTGATGAATAGATACGGTGTAGGTCTTTGGGGGATACGGTACCACCGGGTGAGTAGCTTATAGTTTGTTTCTTGGACTTTAGAGTCTATGGAGGAGTGAGTATATTTAAGAATATTGGCTGATTCTGCCTCTGAGAACCGTATCCCCATGTCACTCTCCCACTCCGCCAGGTAGTAAAGTGATCCAGGGGAGTCCTGCTGCAACAGGAACTTATATAGCAGGGAGAGAGACCTGGAGGGAGGTTCCGTGGCGTTACATAGTTCCTCAAATGGAGTGATAGAGTCAAGGGGCCGCACTCAGAACTCTAATGAACAGATAAAGTGCGAGAGTTGTCTGTGTCTGGAGGCCTCACCTTTTGATCTGCATTGGGAAGGAGAAGTTGCCTTCACTGTCTTCCAGGTCACTGATGCTCAGCAGAAGCCCTGCGTGGATCTATACGTAGAAAAGAAGAGGACAAGCAGAACGTGGTTAAGGGAGCTTAAGAGCTGCAGTTAAAATGTAATGCCATCCCCGGACTGCCTTGGATAACACAGAACAAAAGCTAATTTCGGTCTACAGAAGGCCATTTTGCGGGGGGTGGGGGGGGAGGGGGGGGAACTACAGTGGTCAGTTCCATAATGTCAATTGTTTTAAGGTACGACTATTACGACTATTTTATATGGTTAGTTGTTTGGCTGGGATTTTATATTAAAGTTTGTGGTCTCTTAACTTAAGCTCTATATAGGGACACTTTTTTTAGGTTCCAAGTAGTGTGTTTGGAGTTTCAAAAATGGTTCCTTTGAATCAATCCAGATCACATTTCTGGTTTTGGAGAACTTCAGCACCATTGGTGCCCTGCCTGCAGCCCCTTGGCCACGTGCAGCCCTTTGGTAATTGTTACGCGGCCCTTGGACCACAGCAGTCCTAAGGGAGGTAGGGTCATTGAATTGTAAAGGGGTTGCAATGGCAATGATCTCCAGCAGCCTTCTGTTTCATGTGTTTTCAACCACCCCTGTAGCATGTCCACAAACATTGACAATCTCATAAATTATGTCTGAAGTCCCTAACAGTCTTCTGTAGCATTACATTAACTAAATATTATGTTTGGCCACTTGGTGGTGCCAAGGGATGCAGTGTTATATCTTGTAAGGTAACCATCATTGCTTTTCTCTATAGCTCAAAGCAGACTCAGCCTTTTCAAGTGAGGTCCACAGATTTTCTTTATTTCTTATTGTACTTGTCTCAGTACCAACACTTAATTATAATTTCCCAGTGTACCTCCTCTTTTTTTCTACCCTCACACATGTATACCTCTCACCTGTGCTTCATTCCTCAGGGGGTTACCAAGCTCACACACGACAAGTTCTGAGTCATTCATTTTTCTTGGAGTGCACAGAATCTTCTCCTAGAAATTCATAGCAACATAACACATTTAAAGAAACAGAGGTTCATAGTCAGCATCATCATCTTGGAACTATATCATATATGGAACTATTGTTAATCCAAAAGAAGACATAACATTACCCAAATAGGGAACAGTTAAATAAGAAATAGAAGAGGTCAGGGAGGGAAAGGAAAGTCGGGTTAAAGAGTAAGGCCCACTGGTGCCATTTTCAGCACTCTACAGGAGGCAGGTGTTTTGTGAGATGATCCAATAGCACCATGGATGGGCTGTTTTGGTTCTTCTACTAATCAGGTCTATTCTTATGCATATACACACCTCAGTTTCTCCCTCAATCTGCATGTAATGAGCCCCAGGAGGGAGCGTGACATGCAACTCAGCTTCATAAGCCCCTTCCCCGAGGTTTTCCGCATCAAAGTGGATCTGTGCAAGATTGTCATCTCCGATAACAAGTGGTTCTTTACCCCTTAATAGATAAACAATAGAAGAATAGTTGGGTGCCATATCACCAAATCTCTAGAACACTTCCAAATACAAAATCTATCAACAATGGGTCTAATGGCTTAATAGTGAATTGTCTGGGTGATATAAGATGTGATCGGTTACACAATACACCAAATTATTGAACCAAACGTAAATCAGTAATGTCCTGTGATAATATGATTGATGTTTAAAATATTGCACCCGCTGAAGGTGGACCTAGCATCACATATACAGTATGTTTTTATGCTAAGAGCATGGAAACAAAGTAATGTGTAAATGTAGTACATTGGGGTTTCTAATGTCTCTCACAGAGATCAAAGTATTCCCCTTGACTGCTGTTTCTTTCCAGAGGAACAGATCCATCTTTGTTCAGGCGTCATCCAGGGTCTGTATCTACATCCTGGAGTCCAATGTTCATGTTTCTGTATATTATTTATGACAGTCCAAGAATGTATTCATGCTGAACTATAAAGTTCACTTTAAGACAGTGAGACCTAAGGCTAATAGGACTGATGATTATACGTAGGAGATGGACTTACCAGCTGGCACTTAGCTGCAGGTCAGGAATGCAGATATTGTCTTCTCCACAATCCAGTAAGATATGTATCTAGAACACAAGGCAAGGGAAATACATTTTTATCACAAAATGGATTTGATTACACATGAGACTGCGTGTAAGAAGTTCTTCAAATATCAGTGTACCCATCCATGGGGCTACATTATCCATTGCTCACCTGCTCTTGTAGGAAGGTGTTCCCATGTATTATAGGTGGTAGGACACTAGAAGATGGTGCAGTGTTCAGGCTGAAGTTCACACTGACAACTATTGGGCTCAGCTTATCCTTAAACTCATTTTCACCCTGAAATATAGTATAGAATGTATTTTACCCATTTTGGTTTTATTAATAACAGAATAATTTGCTACTTACACTGACTAAGAAATACAGCAATATCAGCTAAAGTGACCCTACACTGAAGTGAAGGATGGAAGCTGATTGTAAGCCAAGGCCTATTCCAGGCACTCTGATATTTCCAGAAATGAATACAGGACATTTGGGTCAAGATCATGGCAGACAATGCCACGGTGGTTTTGTATATCATTCACTAAGGAGGCACATAGAGTCACAGCATGATGCAAGCAATTATTCCTCTCATGATGTGGGCAGTATAGAAGGTGGTAGGCATCAAGGTAGTTTACTTGCCAGGGCCAGAGAATCGAGTGCCGGACTATATGAGCAGGAATCAAGTAGATCCAACCGAATGGTCTCTTTCGAAACAGATCTTCAACAGACTGATCGGGAGATGGGGCAATCCTCAAGTGGATCAAATGTATCTCACAGGAATTGCCAGGTCAGCCGATTTCTGTCGAGAATATTCGACCACAGAGCAGAAGGCCAGGACGTTCTTTCACATCCATGGAATTGCGAGCTGGCATGTGTCTTTCCCCCCTTTACAAAGATCATGTCAGTGCTTCAGAGGATAGGAAGGGAAAAGGTGACGGTTAATGCCATTATCCCCTATTGGCCAAGACGACCATGGTTTCCTCTCCTGATGTCTCTCAGCATTCAGGAACCGTGGCAGATCCCAGTGACATTAGATCTCCTATCTCAAGGACCGATACAGCATCTGAATCCTCAACAGCTCTGTCTGACGGCATGGCTGTTGAAAGGGAAAGGTTGAAGAAGTTGTGATTTTGCCGAGCGGTTATTGATATGCTTTTGAAATCCAGGAAGGTGTCCACTTCCTCAGTGTATTATAGGATGTGCATAGTGTTTTCCACATGAGCAAGGGATCATAACATTGACCTTTTTCAACTCTCGTCTAAGTCAATTCTGGAATTCCTCCAAACAGGTTTGGATAGAAGAATGAGCCTTGGTTCCCTCAAAGTGCAGGTTTTGGCTATATCAGCTATCACCAGGACACAGAATCAGAACATTTCCAGATTTCTGAAAGCAGTGAGTAAAGTTAATCCTCCTAATAGGCCTCTTTATCCGTCTTGGGATCTTCCTCTCACTTTGGAAGTTCTTTTGAGCCAATACAGACTATTTGTATGCAACTCTTGTCCTACAAAACGGTCTCCTTAGTGACCTTGGCTTCAGGAAGAGTTTCCGAGCTACAAGCCTATGGTTGTGATCAACCCTTTATCATCTTTCATGAGGATAGAGTAGTTTGAGAACTTTTGCACTGATTCTTGCCGAACATTCATGCCAGTTTTCATATGAATCGGAATTCATATGAATTTCATATGATATCATCCTGCCCGCTCTCAAATCAGAAGGGAAGGGTGGATTTTTGGACCTAGTCAGGTGTCTGAGGATTTATGTGGAAAGATGTAAGGACTGGAGGAAGTCAAAAAGACTGTTTGCGATTCCGGCAGGAGCAAGAAAAGGATTGGCAGCAGCTAAGGCTTCTTTGAGCAGATGGATCGTATTCACCATCATTAACGCCTATCAAACAGCGTGAGTCTCCCCCCCAGAAAGCATCAGGGCTCACTCCACAAGGGCCGTGTCCTCCTCATGGGCAGCAGCATCCAGACTTTTGGCAGATCAAATTTGCAGAGCAGCGATGTGGGTGTTTAAATCTAAGTTTATTAAGCATTATCGACTGGATGTCAGAGCTGCAGTGAATAACCACTTCGGTAGAAGTGGTTTGCTCTCTCAACATGGGGTCGAGAAATAAATTTGTTTAGCATTCAATGATGTTTGTTTGTGGATTTTGTTCCCACCCTTACTTCTGCTTGGGTAATCCCCATTTTCACGCTGCCATGTATATGGCCAAGAAAACTGAAAATGTAATCATACTCACTGTAATTTTCTTTTCCTGGTTATACTTCATGGCAGCGCTGGGCTCCCACCCTATGAAGTTATTAGCTTGTTACTAGACTAGGGAAGTCGGGAGGAGGAGGGGCTTTTATAGAGTTGGTTATGCCTTGTTTTAACCCTTTTGGTTCTTGTCAGCTAATTGGATCTAAACCTATTTGTCAGCGATGCCATGGAGTATAACCAGGAAACAGAAAATTACGGTATGATGACATTTTCTGTTTCCCTCATGACATACACAACTTGGCTTACCCACTGTATATTGCTGCAGTGCCCATAAAAGCTAAAGGGATTTAGTCTGCCTGCTTTCAGTCACTCTGGGGAGCAGTAGTTCACAACAAGAAAGGGGTTCTTCTGTACTCAAAATAACCGCATGATTTGGTAATGCTAAAAGTACTAAAAGTGACTGACGGCAAGTGTGAAATTCACTAAAAGGTCCACTTATAGAGGCGGAGCACACACCCGAAGATAGGCGGTGGTGACGGTGCAGGTCCGCTGTGAATTGCTCTGAATGTCCATAGTGATTTTTTTGCTGGGTTGTGAAGAGTCGGTGAAGAGGGTTCTTCGGAGAAATCTGCTCTTCTGACTGTCGAGTTGGATGTCAGCGGATAGGCCTTGATAAAAAGACACGGTGACATAACAAGCATGGTAAGAATGATTAGGTTTATTAAACTTTTACCCTTATTTACCCACCATTGCTTCCAATCACCCCATACACCAATCAGACTCAAACCCTTGTCAAGTGTCTGAGGCTCTGAGTGCCTGAGCCTCAGGTCAACAAATGAGGCGATGTGAAAATATACGTCAAGTTAACGTTAGACAGTCTGATTGTACAGTCACATTGTAAGGTGCATGGCCAGCTCCAGAAAGATCTTTCCTAAAAAAAGACCTTGCCACAATATTTTTAAAGATCGTCATATACAGCACAATCTGTTTGTACAATCTCTGTAAATCTACTTTAGCTTTACAAACCACTATATAGTGCAGGGGCCTACCTAAATCATCCAATCAATTTACATCCAATCAGGTAGGCAAGCCCTCATACTGCATAACTGTTGTTAAATCTATAAAAGATTTCCAAAGATTGCATAATTAGATTGTAAAGTAGGTGGTCAGCTTTAGATAGATGAACAATCAACTGGAATTCTGACAATTTGTCTGACTAGGGGGTGTTTTTGATACAGCAACTTGCCGGGCCATTCGTCCTGCGAAAATGCATGTACAAAAATAAAGGAATCTTATTAGTATATTTTCTTTCTAGGTCGGAATACCACATTATGTCCAGTAGATGGCACTGAGAAGCATAAGGTAAAATGTAATGTAATACCATATTATGGCCACTAGATGGCGCTGAGGTGCACAGCAACTAAATGCTTCTTTCCTATTCTTCTCAGCTCCATCTAGTGGCCATAATGTAGTATTTACCTGATATTACATTCCATCTGGAAAGAAAATACCGTATGCTAACAACATTGGTTTTTGTCTTCGTTCGCAACAAATGTACATGCCTTTTGCAGGATGAATGCAATTTTTTTTATAAATTCACCCCTGTGAGTAGTCTTAACGTGTGCATACACAATTCATAGTTTTGATAAATCTAAATTATACATACATTGTACAGTGTATGAGCAACTTAACACATAGTAGTCCATCAGTGGCTCCTGTCCATAGCTACACTCATCCTTCTCCACAACTGCTGCCACTAGCTACACCCAACCCACCCCACGGGCAAGGGAGCTGTTTACATGTTACACCAAAGCAGATGAATTTAGTGTACAGTATGTGAGGAACATGGGTAACGGAAATTGCCAATAATAATGAACAGAAGAGTCTGTACATGGTATACAAATGAGGTATATTAATTATTCTCACTTATAGTCTTGGGCAGACTTTTCCCGGAGGTCCAGACACAAACGCTCACATTGAAACTAGAGAAATTACAGATATATCAATCACTTTAATGCACACGTAGGAATGTTAATTATCTACAAATGTTACTAATTTGGCATTGCCCCCTAATCTGGGAACCCCTTTATAAGAAGAGGAGAAAGTGCTTTTCCATCAGGTTTTCATGTTTGCACTCACCCTGAGCCCTCATTTTGTTGCATCCCAAAGCACAGTGGTAGGAAAACCGCTTGAACCAAGGATATCATGGATAATGGCCATTTATGCCACCTCTCCCTGCTTCCTGAGGGCTTGTATGGATTCCAGGCAGCCGAGACATATCACATCATATGTGTGATGATTTATACGGTATATGTCTTAGACCTCAATGCAGCACAATTCAGGCCTGTGAGTACGTTTTATGGCTTTAGAATGTTATAAATGTCATGTGGGGAAAATATTAAAAGCAGAAGGCGAGGACAGTTTCACAGCTGCAGATAGCAAAAACAAAATGACCTTGTCTACATTTCATTCTCCATCTCCTTATAGCATCATGTATTTAATGCTATGCAGATCAGAATACAGTTGTTTTCCACATGTTAAATATTTGGTATGGGCAATACCTCCACTTTAAAGAAGAATTGGGACACTGCAGCTGCCACACATGTTTAAAACTGAGCTCAAGGTGATTACAGTCTCAACTAGAGCCAAAAAGCTGGGTACCTAAATACATGATCCTGCCACATTATTTGAGATGGTGGAACGCCATTTTATTTATATATTTTTCTAACCCATATGGTAAAGATCACAGGAAATGTCAGAAAAAATTAAAGCTGCTATAAAAACTGCCTCACCAGCTGACATCCCCGATACCGGCCTGTTTACATTTTTTCAGGTCTGGGTCCACGGTATCCGGAGTGAATATTAAAGAAGTATGGAGAAGAACTACTGGCTGGGCTCTGGAACAAAGAATACAGGAAAATTAGGAGCAAAGCGGGAGAGTATAGCCTCAAATACATTATACTTCCCTAGAAAAAAATAATCTTCAAAACAGATGAAAAATTACAGAATATAAATAAAACTATATATTTATACACAAATGCCAACTGATTACAGTAGGCATGTGTACTCTAAGCCTCTAAGCCTCATGACTTGAGTGGAGCAACGTGTGCCTTGTCAAGACTGGATGCAGACACTCTAATTAGAGTATATAGTGGCGAGTTTCTTCACCTCTAGCAGCTGCCTTTCCCACAAGGCAAGTGTACCTTCCGACACTCGGATGCTCCCTCTGACTATGAATGTTGCAGGCGGCCCACAGGTACAGGATACAAAATCAACACAGATACAGGATTCAAGATATACAGTGGCAGGATAGGGGCTTGTACAAACCAAACTAGACAGGACCATCACAAGCCCAGGGCCCTGGGTTTGTGATGCTTAAATAAAGTATCACTAACTAATCTCAAGGCGAAGGGGTGAATGACCAGGCTCATTAGCACACAGCTGAAGACTGGGATAGGTGCATTAGTAACAAGCAACCACCAAAGGGAAACTCCTAACATGCCTACTGTCCAAAGAGCAGGAGGGAGGTGGCTGAAAAATGGCAGCATGTGCAATGGACTGATGAGTCAAATTTGAAATATCTGGCTGGAACAGAAGGCCTGGAGATGGGTACAAGGATGAGTGTCTAGAGGCAACAGTGAAGAATGATGGATGTTCCTTGCAGGTTTAACTTTTTTGCACATGGAGTTGGGGATTTGGTCAAAATGAATGGCCTCCTCAATGCTTAAAAGTACAGGCAGATATTTATCCTTCATGCATTACCACTAGGGAGGTGTCTAGTCGTTCCCAAATTCATTCTGCAGCAGGACAAAGACCCCGAACATACAGCCAAAGCCATAAAGAACCATCTTTAGCACACAAAAAAAAATTAAACAAAAAAAAACCAAGAAGTTAAGGATAAGATGGTATGTCCTTCACTAAGCCCTGATCTTAACATCACCAAGTCTGCCTGGGATGAAGAGGTGGAAGCAGCAGACAGCCTAAATCCACAGAAGAACTATAGTTAGTTCTCAAAGATGTTTGCTAGTGCACGTAGAAGAACTAATGCTGTTTGAAGGTGAAGGGTAATCAAATCAAATATTGATTTAATTTAGGTTTTTTTGTTTTGTTTATGCACTTTGTAGGTTGTTACTTGATAAACACAGACTATTAATTGCAATATTTGTAAAGCATCCTCACTTTTCAATACTACCAAAAACATTTGCACAGTAGTGTACAAGATCTTAAATATGCCTGCCCCATGTACATATAAAATCACAAATTATACATAAAAACAAGGATTTTAATAAAAGAACACACACTGATTAAATTATTTACATCTCGGTGATCTTGTATTTTTCTATAACTAAAGCGGATCTCATTCACTTTGAAGAATGCACAGGGAGTAGGGGCCACTTCCTGGTATGTCAATAAAAATTCTAATTGGCTTACAATTAGGGATGCACCGATATATCAGCTGCCGAAACATATCGGCCGAAAATTGCACTTTTGTGCCGAAAGTGCCATTTTGCCGAAAGTGCCATTTTCCTACCAATACATGGGAGCATCCCTGATTTCTTTCATCCCTGCTGGGTGCTGCTCTATGTCCCAGCCGGGAGGAGAGAAACTGTGATGGCCGGCAGAGCGATGCGGGACGAGAGCGCTGTGATCGGCCAGCGTCTCCTCCCACACCGCTCAGCCGCCTATCACACTGCGGCAGAGCGGTGTGGGGGCGGAGACAGCGCTGTCACAGGAGACTGGGCTTTCCTCCCTACACCGCTCGCTCAGCCTCCTGTGACAGCGTGTCAGAGAGAAGAGCAAGGTACACACACTCAGTGATCGCTAAGTGTGTGTACATAATTGAGGACATGGTATGTTAACTATATCCTCAATTATGAATGAATGGGAGTGATCTACATCCCCTCCTGTTCATTCATAGTTGTGGTTATTGTAAAAAAACCATGTTATCAATGAACAGGAACACTCATAGAGGATTCCTGTTCATTGATAACTCAAACATTTTCGGTTTCGGTTTTAAAATGTCTATTTGGTGCATCTCTACTTACAATATATAACATTTTATTTAATACTTTTACATGAAGATTTCTATAAAGTCTCTTACCTGAAAACATAGACTGTGTCAGCTTCAAAAGCCCCGACTACCAGATCTGCAAAGCAAAGAGTTCAGTTTTTAGTGGGGATGTAGAAAGGGGTAATTGCAGAAACGTCACCAGCACACCAAATCCTTATAGGATCAAAGTTCGTAGATTTTATTGCAAACTCATGTCAGTTACACAAGCGCTTTCGGGGCCACACAGGGTCCCTTCATCAGGCATAGCAATGACCTGATGACGTTTCTGCAATTATCTGTATTTGGCGGCGCCATCCGCAGTCATTCCGAGCACCCCTCCCCGATAACGGGGTCATACCGGTAAGGAGTGCAACTAGCCTTTTCTTTTTTTCTTTTTTTTTTTTTGATGTAGAAAGGGGCACACAGTACTTTCAGTGATGCATCACATTGAGTGGTAAAATGCTGTTAGTTTCTCTAAAATCCCATTCGGGTTATGTGGTTACACTTTTTTGTTCTTTACCTGGATATCCATTCTGATCAATGTCTTCCCCTCCTCTCAAGGCAAAGCCGAATCTGGATGGTGCCTTTTGGGGGCTCTCCAGGATCTGCGATGGTTGTGTAGATAACCCTGACTTCTCACCCTTGTAAATGTAAACACAGCCGGCTCCAGACTGGCCTCCAAAGGGTGAGCCTACAGCTACATCTATTAAAGAAAGAGAATTGCAGAGGACAATGTCCAGACTTAAATGTAATTATTTCAGGTTTGAGGAAATGACAATAAATGGAACCACCTGCCAGATTCTTAAAACCATAAGCAACTCTGGAGGGAACATTTCAAGCTCCTCCCATCTGCCAAAGGTTTCACAAGAGTTCCACTCTCTGCGTGTTCATATAACTATAGGCAGTGATGCAGAATAGATCATAGATTATCCTTGATTTGATATAAGAAGACCGAGGTTAGTCAACTAACCACTAGATGGACCAACCCTTGGAAGGGCATCGCCTCCTTTAAAAGGCAATGTAAACTTAGATTTATCGGAAGTGAAAAGGTAAAAATATGTGACTTATTGACATCACCTTGTATGAATATATACATATCCAAAATAGAAAATCCAGCGAATGGCTATATACATTGATGTCAGGCCACCACAAATGACACAGGTGCACTCCTTTGCACTGGAAGAAAAGAGGTTTATACATCTAAAAGGAAAGGGTTCACATTAGGTGGGATGTTAATCTGATTGCTTTTGCAGCTCAGGAATGCATCATTTCTCTTACTGGAGCAAATTAGATGATGTCATATAAGTGCCTTTTTGCTTCTTCTAGATCAAATAGAAGTTAGGGGTTAGGGTGCAATCTCTTTAATTTTTTTTAATCTAATGATTTCTATTTTCTTATGATAGAATTTAATGGACAATGTCTCTTTCCACCTTTTAGCTTTGTATGTATTTTGGAAGAAATTAATTTGGAAGAAACTATGTTATTTGATCTGAGACCACACAGAAATGTGTGGCTTCTCATACCATTGTATCCATCTTGATCCAAGTCTCCTAGAGGGGCGATGGATGCACCAAAATGCCCATACACACGAGTCCCCCTGAGGATCTGGGGGTCTCTGTTCAGAGCCCTGGGCTTCTTCTGTAGATATACGTAGACTTGTCCAACTTCCAGGAACTTTCCATCTGTCCTGCGCTCCATGAAAACAGGAGCTCCCACAAGAAGATCGTCAAGTCTGCAAGTACATATATAGAATAGGTGTGAACAAAGGGTGAAGAGCTTTTGTACAGACAGCAAAGACCAGATGTATCAACATATTCTTACTCGGTTTGCTACCTTTACTTTACTACCAGTCAAGTTCAAAATCATGCTTTAAGTTTAAACCTGCCTGTTAGCTGCAGTCAACACCAATTCCAAATGAGAATATATTGATATATCAGGACCATGACGTTTGGTGGCATGTATCTAAATGGAGTTCATACTCTAATAGGGCAATCCCCAACCAATGGCTGAGAAGCCATATGTACCCAGCAACTGTCTTTGAGGTTTTGCTTATGGAACCTTGTTAGCAGGCACTCAACATCTGCAAGAACAATTTCCTATTCTCACAAGTGTGAGATTGGGTAAAGGTTGTCTAGCTCATCCTTTTATAATCACATAATACAATTAAAAACAAATCTCACTGCAACTAAATTCTTGTTTTTAAAAATCATAAAGCAGAAAAGATTTCTAGAATCTGAATCTGCAGTGAACCAAATTATGACACTAGAGGGCTCTGCATTCATGGGAAATGATATTCTGCCAGAAAGGAATTCTTTCAAGACTCACCCATCTCCGTTGATGTCTGTAACAGCTACTGAGTGGCCAAAATAGGAGGCAGTCTGTAGAAAGCACAAAGTAAAACATTACAACCACGTTATTTGCTGGGTGTGTGATGCGTCATTTAAAGGGGGCGTTCCAGTCAAATAAAGGGAACATGTTATTTTCAAGCAGTTACAATGCTCTGTGTGACCATTCTTTAATTCAAATCACTGCTGCCACTAAGGAGGCCAGCCGTAACGTTCACCTTGCAATATACAGTATACACGATGGCCCCAAGAGCTTTTGCATATATAATATCCACTACTTATCTGTAGAATCCCTTTTCCTCTGTACAAATAGACATGTATGTATATTTTCTATACCTGAAGTTCATTTTCCTGATACATCTGCTTCCTGATACAGCTATAAACTCTACTTGACATGTGCTGCCTAAGGCAGGGGCGTCCCGAAGCTGGGTGTCACCCGGAGCGGAGACCGGGTGATACCCTGCAGTGACGCCATCGGTCATCTTGGTGATGGACGCCGGTAGAGAGAGGAGGGGACGTTCACCCGGCGGGATGAGGTATGCCGCCAGGTCCCCTCTTCTCTCCTGACACTGTCGGCTCTCGGTCCATGACCGAGTGCCCGACTTTTTAGAAGGGGTGACACCAAATGACTGTCGCACCCCCCGCACCCTCACTGGTTTAAAGCCCCATTCTTACCAGATGCTTTGGCATCCGCTTTTCAACAGATCCAAACGCAAAGACATCTGAAAATGAATGGCTGTGAATGGCAGCAGTTAACACTAGTGCACCAAAGGCTCTACTTTTTTCAATGCAAAATGTGTCTAATGTGCGTCAACATAACGGACGTCAATGCAAGGCAGAACCAATACAGTGTACAAATCAAACAAAAAATGCAACACAATGCATGTTAACGTACTACGCCAACACAAGTGGATGCACTAGTATTGACTCGCATCCAACGCACACATTTTGGTGTGAATGCACCCTAAGTCTAGTCATCTCCTGGGAGAGTTTTACAAGGTTCAGCCTATTATTTCACTTTTTATAGCCCAACTCCAGCCAAAAAGTTTTTTCATTGTGTTAGTTTTTAGGTAGTGCAGGTAAGAAACTCTGACAGGTCTTATACCCATCTGTGACTCTGTTGTTTAGAGACCAACGCACCGAATCCTAATGGTTCACCACTTTGGTATTTCTTCATACCTTCATACTCTCACCATGATTTGGGTATCCTTTGTGCTTGAAGCAATTCTGCCTAAAGCAGCTGACAGTTTACAGATAGGATCCGTCAGTACTCAGTAATGGAACCTACTTGTCATTATACACACCTGTTCTCCTCTGATGCTGATCACTCTAATCTTGCCCGAAAAAATAAGGACCTGTGATAGATAAGATATTGATTTTAGTCTACACAGAGTATTCAATTGTTTGAGCTGGAAGTTAAAGACAAGGAAATATGCAACTCAATGTTTGTTTTGGAGCAAAAAATGCCAAAAGCAAATGTACTTATTATATTTTTTCCCAAGTTTGAATGTAATATGTTACATTGTGTTACATTATGGCCCCTGGAAGCTGAAGAGCATAAGGAATACATTTCCTATGCTCCTCTGCTCCATCCAGTGGCCAAAATGTATTATTACAACACATTACATTCAAACTGGGAAAATCTGAAATAGGAACTTTTGTTTTTGGCATTATTCGACCAACAACAATCATTTCATAATTTGCTTTAAAAAGTAGTAATGTACTCACCAAAGAAAAATGACACAAGCATATCCAATGGTTCCCCTCACAGGAGGCTATCGCCCATCAGAAGCCATAGCGCAGCCTGGTCAGCTCATCACCGAAGCCGCCTTTCCAGCAGCAAGTGGCAAAGTTAATGCGTTTCTGGGGCATGCACCCTTCGATAAACGGTGGCTACGGTGGCTGCCTCTCCCTGGCCATTGGCAGTACTGCTTTAGACAGCTATATCCCTCCCCAGGGCAGTTCTCCATCATCTGCTTACGGGTAACATTGTCCATTTCTGGCCTACACAAAATTACAAGTGCCTACAATCGCTAGCTACCAGGGTAACGCCTCCCCTTTTAAGATGGCAGGCTTTACAACTGCTCCACTTTCTCTACAGTTCACTGAGCTCTGCTCCCCCAAGTATGGACTTAACATAGTTTGAGGAGATTAGCTTAACCGGGGAGTATGTTGAGCACGGGGCTATCCAAGGCCCATACGCTCTTGGCCTACTTCTCTGATTTATCTGAGCCAGTCTTTTGGCTAAATGGGAGGGAGATTTGGGAGTTACCTTCACATCGGAACAGAAATAAATTATACTACACTTTGCACATAAAGCCTCTATAGCCAGCTCTATCCAATAATCAGGATATAAAATTCTCACCAGGTGGTATTTCGTTCGTTCCTGCCACACTCCGTAAGATGTTTCCTCAATCTTCCCCGAACTGCTGGAGATGCGGACAGGAGGTCGGCTCTATTCTACACATTTGTTGGTCCTGCCCACGCCTCAGAGAGTTTTGGGATGCTGTTCTCCAAATTGTCAAACAACTCACAGGGATTTCTATAATAGATAACCCGGCAGCAACGTTGCCTCACCTGTCTCCATTTGCCAAAACCCGTTTGCAAGTCTCTCCTGATTCATCTGCTCAATGCGGCTAGGGCCTGTATCCCCTTATGCTGGAAAAGTCTAGAACTGCCCTCGGTGCGACTGTGGCTCAAAAAGGTGGATGAAATCCAAGTAATGAAGGAGATGACTGCGACCTTACACCATGCGGGTTGCAAATTCTGGAAAACCTGGTTTTATCAGTAGGAATTTCTCTACTCTACTCTACTCTAAAGGTCTACACGTTTCAGGGGCATGCCCCCTTCATCAGAACCTCAGGGAAGGGGGCATGCCCCTGAAACGCGTAGACCTTTAGAACTCAAGGGGGCAGAGGATGCTGATGTGCTGTACTCCTTCAGACTTCCGCTGTAGAGATTTTATACTTCATCACCATTTGTGTGCTTTTAACCACCGACTTTCCTGTAAGTACATTTTTATTTGTGTCTTGTACACATAAATGACACTTTTACACTATGGAGGCGCTCTGTCTTGTCCCTTGTTTCCTAGATCGATGGTCTTTTTGACCAGAGAGAGCTGCCTTTTGAGTGTTTAAGCCAACTTCACAACCAGCCCATCTTGCAACCAGAGGCGCCGGTATTGTTTTTTTCGTTAGTTCCCCGTTACCCCTGGTCCTGACCTTTTCTCTATGCTTTCAAAGAGGCTAACCGATAGACAATGCATACATTTTGTATTAGAATACCTATCCCGAAATCTCACACTGACCATGAGTATGTTACTGTGAGCTTCAAGATCCATGCTTACTCAGTACCATGCTACTGCCTCGGAGTCCTTTTACGTTCATATTTCTTGGGCTACATGGGCCCTACTCCAGATAGATGTTTTTGTAAATATGCCTCTACGACTGTCTATGTCTGTCTGATACTTATGTTTTATTGTGAATGTTTGTTTATATGAAAACTTCAAAATAAAGAATTTATTTTAAAAAAATTAATGTGTGTATGGTCAACATAACATGTGGTGTACACAAACTGCCTTCACACTACGGATGGTAGGTCAGTGCATTGTGCTGAGCCTTTAATATTAAGACTATTGCAGGGTTATTCACAAAAGGGTGAATAGTTTGGAGAAGGCAGGAGAAGTGAACAATCTAGGACAACATAGCTGAACTAGAAAGTGAGCTGAATTGGAGAATTTGTCCTAGATTGTTCACTTCTCCTGCCTTCTCCAAACTCTTTACTCTTTAGTGAATAACCCTGTGAGCCTCTCAACAGATACTTTCCACATTCAGTACTTACCATTCCCTTGCTTGAGAGAATTGGACAGCCAAGAACAGTTTCTGCAAGAAAGCAAATAGTCATCTGTGTTAATGTGCAACTGTTGTTCTGTAGAAAATAATATGTTCTAAAGTAGAAGGTAAGGAAAGTAGACACCATACCTCTAATTCTGGACTCTAGACACACATAAGGGAACTGGTATACCTGCCAAAGGATTTGTATTTCTGCTCATCCAGTCTAAAGATTTACACAGATCTACAGTTATGTCTGGTAGAGGAGGGGACCTGATCTTTCTGTGTTGCTGTTTCACTTTCAGATACAGGTCTCCCTCCCAACCTCAGCATGTGATTGAGCAGTGAAAGGAGAAGCAGCACACTAATGAACTCATTTCTCTGATATCAAATCATATTCAGGTACTTAGAAGGCTTGCATTTAAACAAAATAATGTTATTGATCTATTAATGATTACAAAACATTAATTTGTGCCTTTTATATCTGCCCAGAGTACAGTTTTAGGTGTTGAAGGTATTACCCTGTTGGAAAGGGTGATTTTATCCATTCCTCCCTTATGACGCCTAAAACGTAGACCAGTGAAGCCACACAGACATACCAAATGGACATTGCCGTGGCAGCTCTAGAACTGTAGGGTATGGGAGAGTTCTGAACAGGTAATAAGCAATGCTCAGCTTGGACTGGAATCTCCGTGTGGTATGGTGCACTACTCTCAGCGTGGAAAGTAAACTTATATCACAAAACCGGCGATCATGCCAGCAATCCTTGTGATCTTCCTTTATTAACACATAATGTAGCACATAAATCAGCCACTACACATATGCCTTTTAGCCGTTCCACATCAACCAGTGTGTGGCCAACTATAACGTTGGGAATGACTGAAATGGGGGAAAGTTAGGTGTCACGGGCTGTGATGTCCTGAGACACTAAAACAATGAACAAAAAACAAGTTCTAGAGCTGACACCATGTGAGTAGGTACATCACTCTTTCAAAATGTTACTATGCAGCATCCTCTCTTCCCAGATACCACAAATCCATTTTAACTCTCCCACGATCTGACTTCCTAATGCTGCCATAGTATGGAGACGTACAGGAATAGAGTAGGCTTTAAACTTGACACAAGTTACTAAAACCTCCATCAAAGAAGAATCATTCTTTATACAATTATGTTAATTCAAATCCAACCTGTTTCACTGTAAGGCCTATAAAGCCAACAAAGTAGACACTGAGAGGTGCTTGAACATGCCTTTTGTTTTATGGCGTCTTCCTCCATTCTCATTATAAATATGGCAACCTCCAACTCAAAAACTAGAGCCAACATCCCTCCAATGCAGTGCATTCTGCCACCTAGCCCTATAAAAAATAAATCCTTTGGGGGGGATGTTGGAGCTTACTGAGATGCAGGTCAATATTTGCATATTATGTCCTCCAGGTTTGGGGACTCCTGAGTTGTACAGGTCATGTATCACTGGTTGTGTTTTATTCTAAGATAGGTTAATTTCAATACATGGAGCGGATTGAAGAGGATTCCAGTCCTAAGTTATAGTGAAATACTTTTTTTTAACACCAATACAGCATCTCCTTCCTTTACCCTACCTGGAGAGTCGTCCCCTGTAAATTCACCATAAGCAACTGCAAAACCTACAAGGAGTAAGACAATCCAAATTAGAAAATATTGATCACATGATCACCATTGAACTACATGTAAAGCCTAAACATTTTCTTTCTGTTTTTGGTTAGCGAAGTGTTGGAAGCAGTTCACTTTCTGCTATCTATATCTGTTGGAGAGATTTCCCTTCACTTCCTGTCCTGAAGATGCAACAAGAAGTAAGAAGAAATTTCTACAGAGTGAGGGGAAATCTGCTTTAGGCCGGCCATTACTGGATCTGGTGTCCATGTTGGGAGAGTTACTCTCATCTCTTGTCTGGTGATAACGGTAACATTTTGGATTCTTCATCACTTTCCGTCTTGGTGATAATGGCCACCAGAATAAATAGAGTACGGGAATCTTCCAAGGGGGAACACAGATAACAATAACAACTGGTCCACATATATATATAAAAAACCTGTGTAAAAAGGAGGAGTTAAACCCATGTTAAACCACTGCTGTGGTGCTCTTTTAGTTTTATACTGGCCACAAGCTAAGGTGAACTTAAAGGGTTATTAAACCCTCAGCGGTTTTTGCATATATCTATTGCTAGCAAGCAGTAGATATATGCAAAAACATTTAAAAAAAATAACGTTTGAAACAGGTTTAAACTTACCTGTGTCTTCGCCGCACGCTCCCGTCCGAACACCTGAAGAGTCTCGGGCGGCCGCAAAGGATCTTGGGGCGGGCGCATGCTCAGTTCAGATGTTCGGCTGGGAGACAAGGAGAGACACAGGGTAAGTCTATGGAGCAGCGTGCATAGGGTAAGTCTATGGAGTCAGCGCTGGATCGGAGACCCGCACCAGAGCTGGAGGGACAGCTGAAAAGGACAGTAAAGAAGAAGATGATCGAATAACGAGGCATCATTTAAGGTAAGTCCCTACAGCAGGATTGGGAAGGAGGAAAAAAAATTCTGACTTTAATGTCACTTTAATATGTCCACTGACCTTAACTGTTAACTCACTATTAGAGATTCAGCCGTTTCAGTTTCTTTCTAACAATACAAACTTGACAGAAGTTTGACCCTTCCCTACTCCATCTCAAACTAAATGAAAACTGGACTGCCAGGCTCATTTGCTATATTAAACCATTGTGACGAGACTAGTGACTAATTTACATCTGCAGCAGATAGCAATCAAACACTTGCTTCTGCACCTATCATCTTAATTAGTCTCATCAATGCAATAGCTTGACTTTGATGTTTTACAGATCTATTTCTGTAAATGCTGCGTGAAATACTTCATATACCCCATGACTCAAGTTTTTCATACCTTTATAGGCGTTAGACACATGTTTATCTTCCTCTGACATGTAGAGGCCAGGAAATTCCTTTATCATGGCTGCAGACTTTGTCTGCATACTGGAGAGAGGGACTGTAACGAAGAGTCCTGGATGACAGAATAAAACAACGAGGCAATGACACCAGGTTAAAAGGAAAGATGCTTATAGGTTGGATGAACATCAATTGCACCGATAGGTTTTTCTAATTGAATGCCACTATGTCAAAGCTTTCAAACACTAAGGAGATGCAACTTGATTGCTCTAAATTCTTTATATCTCAGAGTGCCAAATGAAAAGGTCACTGCAGCCAAGACAAAATTACAGGAAACAGCCAACTCAAAAATAATGTTCCTGATTTGGGAGGTTACCAGATGCTTCAATCAACATTTTTATTTCAACATTTTTTTAATAGGTTTCTGGACCTGGTGATCACACAATTTAGTTTCCCTGGAGATCAACAAATCAAAGAGTGAACCTGCCTGCCACCATCCATCAAACACTGAAACATACAATTTCTGGATATCCCTAACCCATTCACACGTAGCGACATACCTTTTGCAGCGGCCGGGATAGCGCGACTTTCAGGGCGACGTTCCAGCGACGATCCAGCGACAGTAGCACGACCTTCTCCGTCGGGCTCCATTAGAAAAAAGCAAAATCGTGCAAAATCCGCCGAAAAAAGGGTCCTGTAGAAGCGACTTGCGACCGCGACGAGCTAAGACAGCTCCATTGAATATCATTATCCGGCGACTTCTCGCGATATCGCGTGGCAAAAATGTGCGATAAATCGCTACGTGTGAATGGGGCCTTAGGCCCATTCACACTGAGCGACTTGCAATATTGAGCGACTTTTTCCTATTGGGCTGTATGCAATCAGGAGCAAAATCGCTCAAAATCGCTTGAAAAAAGGGTCATGTAGGAGCTACAAGCGATATTGAGCGATATTGAGCGTCGAGATGTGAACAGCTCCATTGAAATGGATTGGAGAAGCTACATAGAGCGATATCGCGTGGAAATATGAGCGATATCGCTGCAAAAATCGCTCGATAAATCGCTCAGTGTGAATGGGGCCTAAAGGTGCACATAGATATAAGATGGCCATTGCATGAGACGTTTGGAGGGCAAGAAGGAATGGGAAAGTTTTCCGGGTTTAGGCTTTTAGCCTTTATTACTCTGAGCTCAGCCCACATGTCAACATAATAGATTCACTACATGTGTACCTTAAGCCAAAGTATACCATATGTCGCAAAGTTCTGGTATGAGAAAGAGGAACACCTTTCAGCACAAAGTATGTAGGTAAAGGACATATCCCTGTTTTACCCTGCGATACAAGGACTGCGAAGAATTAATAAACAAAAATCGCTTGGTTGAACCTAAAGTACTTTTTTTCACCACAACCTTTTCTTTATACGGGCTTCTCAAAGTAACAAATGCAATAATTTAGAGGTTACATGGAAGGTATAGTAACTTATCATGCGTATTGACCTCTTAATTCTGAATAAGTAGGCAACTGAAAGAAATTAATTATTAGGCCACTGTGGAATACCTACCTTCAAAATAATACCCGCCAGGTCCTCCAGCTAACAAAACACCTTTCTGCAGATGAGAAAAAAAAGAGAGCTTTGTGCAGTTGCAATAAACAGTATGTGAAAAAGGCTTGAAGTAAATGATGTTGATATGGTTGTGCATAGCAACCTAACGGCTTGTGAAGATGGGCAAATGCAGTATGCTTTAGTTTGCTTTACATCAGTTTAAAATTCTTTCACATCTAGACACTGTTCTGACGTTCATCAAGCGGTTTTAAGCTGTCTTTACATTCTCTTTGACTTGCAATTGAAAGAAAAGCATTTCTGACACCAACAATAGCCCATGTACATAGGCTACACATCTCCCTTAGCTACCAGTGCCACATGGGAGAAGGTACCAGAGAAGGTGGCTACTATGGGCATCACATCCTTCCATATGACAACCTTATAAATGAGGCCTTATGTTCTTCATGCAAAGCTTCTGATTTGTTAAATAACGTGATGCAATATAAGGAAAACCCCAATGGTCCTAAGCTCTAGTATAGCTCAAGTACAAAGTTCAAGGGTAACAAAGATATACAAGAAATAAGAAGGTAAGTCACTGCAAGGGGCTGGTACTAGATACATTTAGATATTTAAGGCTGTAGACTTACCTTGCTTATGTCTGTGCTAAATCCAATCTCACAGTAACGATTATCCCGTGCTGCATAAAAAGAGACACAAAGACATATATGAAAGTATATGTGTGCATAATTTGGAAATATAATGTATATATTTATGGAGCCCAAAGTATTTATTTATTTTCCTGATATGTAGTGAGTTGGTTGCTAAGACGTTGGCAGCCCCACAGCATCATTGGTTGTCATGTTGCACCTGTTTACATGCTAGCAACCAATGACACTGTACAGGTTGAGCAGCGTACATTGGTTGCTTGGTCGCAGATGGACAAACTGGCCAAATCATTCACCCATTCATCAAATTTTTAACAACTTGGGTTCGGGTCGAACTTATGGTCAACCCGAAACCAAAGCTCATCCCTGGTTAAATCCCTTGAGGGTTAGGGATTTGTGTCCAGTTGGAAGGATTTCACTTTTTATTCAGATGTCAACTATAGAATTTTGGTGAGATTCGGGAGTGGGTTGCGGAATCAAACCATATAATGCGCATGGAAGAATTGACAACTCGTCTATATGATAGGTATCTGATATCTGAAAAATGGAGACCATGGATGGCTTTTCTTGTCTCAACAGAGATTCAACAATATTTATAGGGAATTAATGTCTTGCTTCATCCCTTTATTATTGTTTTATTTTTTGTGGGAATGAGTGAGAGAAAAGGTATAATGAATATTGGAATAAAGATACTAATAAGTAATTAATGATAAGAGATTGATGATGGCTGTTAATGCTATTGTTTGTTTTCATGTAATAATGTGGATGTTCATTTTGTAAATGAAATAAAAATATATTCTTGAAAAAAAAAAACTATAGAATTTTGGATTTCTCATCACTGTCTGTCCCTGTAAAGAAAATCACCAATTGACATGAGTACGGCACAAAAAATAATTTTCTGACGAAACAAATTAAAACGAAAAACATATTTTATTTGTTTAGTTAATTTAAACAAATTTTTATGCTGTTTCGGATTCGGAGGCAACGAGCCTCAGAATCCCAGACCGCACACTGAAACTGCAGAACGAGCGGCGGCCATATCGGCCACCAGCGCGTTCTCTGCATACGCGCCGCCATCTTGTATCCTGGTACACACCAAGATGGCGGCACCCGCATGTGTATACCAGGTGTACTTGAGTGTACCAAGATATACTCAAAGATGGCGGTGCGCATGCGCAGAATGCGCTGGCGACAGATAAGGCCACCACTCATTCAGCGTGTGACATCACCATCATGCGACGTCCAGCGCTCCGCATCCAAGATGGTGGTGGGCATGCGCAGAACACTACGGAGGCCAATGTGCCCACCATGCGCTCTAAAAACATTTATCTAGGCCCAAATATAGTTTTCGTATAAATTTGGACATAAATTAGTTATTTCGGATTCGGACGAACCGCCGAATCAACTGAATTTAGTTGATTTGCAGGTTCGTACGAATCCGAATGCACATGTCTAGTCACCAAGACAAACAGAGAGGGTGAGACGGACCTGACAGAGATTCTAACCATTCCCTACATTAACAAAAGATGAACCCACCACCAGTGGCGACTCTAGGAACAATATATAGGGGGGGCACATAAGATACCACAGTCAAAACTGGGGGGGGCACTAATAATTCTCATTGCATGTTGCAACCGCACATGTAGTCCAACGCCGCCCACAATCCTGAATACCACAACCGTTTATTTTTTAAAAACTTTTTTTATATATTTTTTTTATTAAACTTATTTTTATTTTTTTTTACCTTTTATTTATTTACCTTTATTTTTAATTTTTTTTTTATTTGTTTCACTTTTTTTTTTACATTTTTATTTCTTTCACTTAATTTTTTTTACATATTTTTTGCTTCTTATTAATTGAACTTTATTTTTTTTTACTTTTTTTAATCTTAGTTTATTTTATTTTTTTTTACTTTTCTTTTTCTACTTCATTGCTGGGAGCAATAGCCAGCCTGCTAATGGATATATGTAAAATTTAAATAGCCAATAACAGGCTGGCTACTGCACCCACCCACTGCCTGCTGTCAATCAGCAGAGGAGGGACCACCTCTGTTGATTGACAGCTGACAGTGGGCTGGTGCAATAGCCAACCTGTTATTGGCTACTGCAATTTAAAAGAGCCAATAGCAGGCTGGCTATTGCGGTCAGCTGCTGGAATGAAGGCGATCGCAGACGCCACGGAGAGGTGAGTAGACTGCAGGGGGAGGGGGGGAGCTCACAGACTGTCGGAGGGCTCTCCTTACAGGCTGTAATCGACAATCTGTCCCCACTGACACAGATCGCTACAGCCTGTAGGGAGAAACCGCTGACAGTCTGTGAGGCTGCAGCGGGGAGAACCCCTGTCCCAGCAGATAACTGTGTGATAACCGTCCCGGGCACAGTTATCTGCTGGGACAGGGATTCCATTTTTCTTGACTTGCGCTAGCGCCGGGACTGCTGCCACTGTTAGCGGGGGGCACACGGGGGGGGCAAGTGAAAACCTAGCCCCCCTGTAGCGACGCCACTGCCCACCACCCCTCCATCCTTTCCCTCAACCAGGTGGTGATGCCAGCAGCCTCCAGCATCATTTGTATCCTGGGCAGTCACATCCTATTGACTTGAACAGTACTCATGCTGTTGGAGCAACGTCCCATGAAAGTCCATGAGACATTACGGGGCAGGTATGGGTAGTAGCAATGCTCTAGATTTACAGTAGCTGGCTGGGATAGAAGGTAAGGAAGCAGCTGGGTAGGGGTTTTTAGCTTAGGATAGTTTATAGGGCTAGCGAGCTGTCCTTAAGGCCAATTTCACACCTAGGCGACATAGTTTTTGCGCGTTTTTGATGCAAGTTTGTGCGCGTTTTATGCGCATACGGCAAAAAGCGCGTTTTTGTGAGCAGATTGTAGCTCATTGATGTTAATGAGAAAAAGCGCATAATAACGCACAAAAACACAGCGTTTCCTATGGAGTCTATGGTGCCAGAACGAGCTGTAATATGCCCAAAAAAAACTCCTATACTTTTTCCATCGACAGGCATTTTGCTTGTTGCGACAAAACTCTCAGATGTGATCAGGGCCATAGAAATGAATGGGATTTTTTTGGGGGGCAGATGTTTGGAGCGTTTTTTAGGGCAGAAAAAGTGCTACAAAACCCTCGGTGTGAACCAAGCCTTAAGGATGTCTGTGTGTAGAACCATTGCTCTGGTCACTTATTTTTGGATCTATAAAGATATGGCCAGTTGCTGATTGTTACACACCATAACCACTCCCAAGGAATTGTTTCTCAGTCTTGAGTTGTCGACAAGGAGCAAACTCATGGAAGCTTTTCAAGTCCTCGGTGTAGTAGCAGGCCCCTGTCGGAGTGTTCCCCGATTCTCCAGTCATGTCCACATAGTTAAATTCCTGGAGGGGAGCGCAGGCCTGAGAAGACAGGAGAACAAAGTCAAAGTGATTTTGTACTTTGGCTATACAATAAGGAATGAATTCCCTTTAAATAAAATAAAGTTTACAGAATGGTTGTTTGAGTAGTTTAATATTGTTTGAAAACAGCACGGTCTACAATGAAATTCTCATTGAAGAAATGCTGCAATGAAAAGCACTAGTAGCAGTTAAGGTGGGTTGAGTTGTCTATTAGCTAGTCCAATAGTAGTTGTCCCTTTCTTAAAGAGAACCTGTAAGTCTCTAAAAAAATCGTACAGTACCCTGCAATAGAAAAGCCATTACTTTTGGAAGCCCGTGTCTCCCCTTTGTTTCAGCTCTGCAGCCTCCTTCAGTGACTTTAGCAATAGACAACACTGAGAATGTCAGATGCCTTTATTAGATGCCTCATAATGTGATTCCTTCCTCCTACCCTATGTCACAACAGGGCACAGCAGTGATATAGGGTGATAGGATGGAACCATAGCAATCTGCAAGGAACACAGGCATCCAACAAGTGTCAAATGCTGAAGAGACTATCCCAGGCTTCAGCACTGAAACAGAGGGGAGGTAGGAGACACGGGCCACTAGAGAGGGAGTATAATATCTCTGCTATTACTGGGTACCGTGGGTACAATTATTTAGAGCCTGACATTGTCTCTGTAAAACTGAACCCCAGATAGACACAAATGAATGCCAATATGAATTTAACAAAAAAATAATAAAATTCATTAATACAATTAATATTATTTATACAACTTATTTATTTTAGATATATTTAATATTTTAAATATTTTTTATTTATTTAAATGCAAGCAGTGTAAGTACCTTAATTTGGTTTGGTATAAAAGCCCCTTGCAAAGCCTTGTATAGCAGAGCTGAGAGTGGAATAGGGAGAATTGTGCACAAAGAGCCAATAAGAGCAGAGAGTGCGACATAGAGATGAGCTCATCAGTCTGCTACTTCTCTTTTCACTGTCCAGTCACAGGGTGGGGAAATTGCGCCTCATGCACACGGCCTTCAAATCTGCATCTGAAGATTCCTGCAGCAAAGACCTACAGATTCTTGTGGCAGCAATTCTAGTTAATGACAGGCTGACAACGGTCACACCTGTCTGTGACTGCCCGCATGTAACTGCACGTGGAACGATTACCTGTAGAGTGGCCGAGATGTTTGTCCTGGGATGCAATCTCTCTGCGTCCAGGGACAAACATCTCTCCCAATCCGAAGGTAATCGTATCATGTGCGATTACATGCAGACAGTCACAGACAGATGCAGCCGCTGTCACCATGGTATTAACATGAATGGGCACAGCGGCCGCATTCCTGCAGACACACCTGGAATTGCTGCTGCAAGAATCCGTAGGTCCTTGCTGTAGAAATTTCCAGCTGCAGATTTGAAGGCCAAAGTGTTACTTAACTGCTGTAAAAAGCCAGGCAGGGATGTACTGTTTGGCAGGGCTGTGTAAATGTTAGGGCTGGATAAATAGAAAAACAAATCCTTTGGCAGCAAAAATAGCTCCCATATACATGTATTTCATCTGTGCAAGCTGTTTGCCTGGAGTTGAACTTTCAAGGGAAGTTTAGAGGCTGGATCACACCTTCAGGCTAGGTTCACACTTGCACTACACCGCACAACACCCGGGACACGCGATCGTGTGCTAGTGCACACAGCGATTGCTGCGCGGTCCCATTGATTTCAATGGGGTAACATCCGCGGAGGCAATCGTTAAAAAAAAAGGTACAAGTACCTTTTTTTGCGACACATGACTCGTGGCTTTTTTTTAGCCGCGATCGTTTTCACTTGCACGGGCGGAATCGCAGCGGGAAACTGCGCGATACGCCAGGCGCGACTAGGCTGCCATTACAAAATAATGGCACCCACAGCGCGATCGGTTCACACCTTGGCAACTCCTGGCCGAGTGGTAATCGTGCACAAAACCGTGTGGATTGCCGCGCGGTCAGGAGTCACCTAGGTGTGAACCTAGCCTGAAGGAAAAATGTAATTGCTTCCTGGCACACTGTTTCTGTCCTCCAGTTTGTAGCTGTGGTCCTCTATGATCAGCTGCGCTGCTTCTACACTTATCTAGCTGACAGGTCTACTAATACACAGTAACCAAAATAGAATCATACCACAATGCTGGACTTCCAAGTTCTAACAGTTGCTCCAAGCCACTGATTGGACTTTAAAACAGTCAGTCTGCTTTCACCGAATTGAAATGTGTCTCCTGTGGAAGAGCAACACTATGAATAGTAGAGGAAACAAGGGTATCAGTGGCCCAGAAGTTGAGGACAAAGAGGGTGCCCAGAATGGTAATCCTGAATAAGCTGGTAAACATCAGGTATCTAAAGTGGGGATGGGGGCACAATTTTTTAAACAATTACAATTTGAATATTGTTTTTGTTTGTGCAAGTACTGGCCAGAGCCGGGTAATCCAAAAGGCAACCTAGGCAGGAGTCTTTCGCTTGGTAGATGTCCAGGTGACCCAGCTACAACCTTCATGCTCCTGCAGTGAACGAGAGGAATAGTGCTATTGGTCAAAACTGTGCACATGCCAGTCACTGCACAAGGGAGGATACAGTTGTAGGCAGTTGGTGTCTGATGAGGGCATGCCTGTACAGACAGGGAAAATCATGGGACAGGCTTGTCTGTGTTTATTGCAATCCTTATCAATGTCAATGGAAGGAGAGCAGGGTTGGGGAGAGCAAAGCTGCTTGTCAAGGGGGCTATTCTGTTCTTCTCTGCAGCTGGCCAAGTTCGGGTGCCAATCAGGGGCTAGAGGGGTTAGAACAATTATTATTATTATAGAAAATTTGTATAGCGCCAACAGTTTGCCCAGCGCTTTACAATATAAGGAAGACATTACAATCACAATACAATTCAAGACAAGAGGGTAAGGAGGGCCCTGCCCGTGAGAGTTTACAATGCCAAGTGTTCCCATGGAGACTCATCCTTATAAAGAACTACAGAATGTTCTAGTGCTGTATAGAGAACAATAACGGTATTATATGCCCTATTCAACCCACGTTCAACTTTACCTGATTGATCAAAGTGTAAAATAGTGCAGCTGCTGGCCTGTGACCCCCACGGACAGAAGAACACACCTCCGCCATCCCTGGCATTCGACACAGATGCGTTCAGTTTGGGAGCCCCCACAACTATATTCATGCTATGAGAATAAAGGAGAAAGATTTATGCGTCACACAGACATGTATCATGTACCCGATAAGCTGGAAAATCTAAAAGCAACATTTTTTCAAGCTGCATTAATGTGCCAAGACCATCATTTCACAATGTATGGGTCGATAATCAAATTAAGGTTTTAAGAGATAAAAGTATATCACACACCAAGGATCCATTTATTATTATTGCCTGCAGCTTTTCTTCTCCTCCTGGGGTCAGTTATAGCCTGACGCCTATACTACATTTTGTTGATTGACAGTAGTATACTGAGAGTTTCTATTGCATTGTGGCTATGTTTTTGATGCCATATCATTGGTTCTCATGGTCCCGTAATTTGTGTCAAGACTGAAATATGAAAGCCGCCGTTGCTGGCATCCTCCTGAAAATGTCAGTTGTCTGGCTATGTCTGCCCATTTTAAAGGTTTACCCTCGCTTTATGTAAGGAATATGGTAGTTGTCGTGTCAAGTCTCCCCGCAACAGGCAATGCCATGTTGGAGCCTCAGCACAGTAACATTGCCAGCAATTGTGCTTTTGTGATTGATTTCTTATATCCTGGAGAATTGTTATTTGCAGCACTGATAAAAAAAAAGTTTTCCAGTTTCCAAAGTTTTCAACCTGTTCCACGATCTTCAGACTTTGCCCAGTTCTGCCCATAGTTAAAATCGTGGCATTTAGTTGCAAGCCGTTGAGCCGTCTCTGGCTTCTATCAAAAAGGGGGCTGCCCTTTGTCTAAGTTTACAGTCTGTTTGTGCAAAGCAGCTATTTTGGATACAAACAGAGCCCAGGGGAATTTATATTACGACAAAAGCACTAGATGAGTCTTCCTTTTAGTATGAAGTACATATAATTCAGGGGTGTCCCTAACAAAGGCTCTTATGATGTAAGTAAGAGAAATTAAAGCCCCCCCCCCCCTTCCTTCCCGCATGTTAACTGGAATCAACAATTTAGGACACAAAGTTAACTTCCTTACAAGGACGGAAACTTTTAAAGGGAGAAATAAATGATGCAGATGGATGCTGGAGGTCGTATCTAAGGAACTTTACAGGTAAAATCTCCCTCTCAAAGACCCTTACTTGAGAGCCTCATTTCTCTCGCTGCATTCTCTGTAAGGGTACATCAAAGAAAATGGAAGCAAGACCTCCTCTAAGTGGCTGTGTGAGATGGCATAAGCTGGAAAATCGGTAGCAGACATATGGATTCTTGGTCTACAAGAAAGTAGGTTGATGGTGGGTTTTTCAGCCAATAGCCTCCCAAAGATGAAATATCATCTTTGGGTGTACTAACACTCTAAAAAAACAGGGAAAATACAAATCGATGTAGTAGTAATTATATTTGACTAAGCAGGAACTCTATACACCTAGTTCATATATACAGATTGGGCCAAAGTGTTCTCACCTGCAGCCTCCGAGCTGAAGATGAAACTTTATGGGCTTCAGAAAATGTTGGGTATGACCTTCTAGAGCAGGGGTGCCCACAATTTTTGTGTTAAGATCTACCTTTGAAATGATGAGCTACGTGAGATCTACCAACGAAAAAAAACCTCTCTTGCTCTCTCTCTCTCTCCTGGCCATCTCTCCTCTCTCTCCTGGCTGTCTTTTCTCGCTCTCTCTCCTGGCTGTCATTCCTCGTTTTCTCTCTTGGCTGTCTCTCCTCTCTCTCTTGGCTGTCTCTTCTTGCTCTCTCCCCTGGCCGTCTCTCCTCTCTCTCCAGGCTGTCTTTTCTCTCTCTCTCTCGGCTGTCATTCCTTGTTTTCTCTCTTGGCTGTCTTTCTTCGCTCTCTTGGCTGTCTCTTCTTGCTCTCTTCCCTGGCTGTCTCTGCCCGCGCTCTCTCCTGGCTCACCTTGCTGTATTTTGCAAACAGTGTAGTGCAATAGGCTGTGTAAACTAATAGTCTTTGATGTAATACATAGCACTTCAACCACCAGTATCCACCAGGAAGGTGTCAGGGAGCTTGGCTCAGCAGACTCAGGCTAATAGGTAATCATTTGTGCACAGATAAATAAATATACCAAAATGGAATAAATGGGCCGCCATTCACACCCTTCGTGATCTACCAGCATCAGCTCTGAGAGCTACTGGTAGATCACGATCTACCTAATGGGCACCCCTGTTCTAGAGGCAGGTTTGTTTAATCCCCATCCAGCACTCTCCTGTCTCCTATACATTATACAGGCCCAGCCAATTATGTGCACTTACCTACTATCTGCTGACTGGTAGAAATCAAAGGAGAATCCAAAGTAGCTGCCTCTGGGTCCAGAAAAAGTGTGGGGGTTCAGCTTATCCAGATTCAAGGCATGGGTATAGGGGAGAATGAGAGGCAGCAGACACAGCATCATGGTGCTATCAGTCCAGCTACAAGTAAAGCAGAAACTGACTTCTCTTCCTTTCTAAGTACGTTCCTTCTCTGCAACACCCTCTCTCACATCTGACTCAGCCTGTGTCTTACTCCCGGAATACAGTCTTCACTGTTTCCTGAATCATTACAGAATCTTCCTTACTAATCTTCTAGCTAAATTTGTCTTTCTCCACTGCTAGATACCCTCAACATTTTTTACTCACATGTTCACTCCCTACACTAAGCCTTGTCAATCAACACCTTGCCAATCAACACCTACCTACACCCAACAATCTCTACAGCCACTGTCACTATGAAGACCAAACGTTTTCCACCTCTACCATTACTAGCATCTAACCTTCCCCACAACTGGTACCACTACAGTCACTAGCAACACTCACAATTCTCCATAACTACTGTAACTAGCTAGTTGCACCCATTCTTTTCCACAACTGCTTTCACTAGCTACACCAACTACTGTGACTAGCTAAACCCAGATTTCTATTGCCACTAGTTGCACCCAGCCTTCTCCATAGCTTCAGGCACTGGCTACACCCAACCTTCTCCACAGTTGCTGTCATTAGCTACACCCAATTGTCTCTAGCTGCAACCAGCCTTCTCCACAGCTCGAGTCACTAGCTACAACCAGCCTTCTCCACAGCTCCTCTCAGTAGTTACAACCAGCCTCCTCCACAGCTCCTGTCACTAGCTACAACCAGCCTCCTCCACAGCTCCTGTCAATAGCTACAACCAGTCTTCTCCACAGCTCCTGTCACTAGCTACACCAAACCTCTCCACAACTTGTGCCACTAGCTACAACCAGCCTTCTCCACAGCTCCTGTCACTAGCTACAACCAGCCTTCTCCACAGCTCCCGTCACTAGCTACAACCAGCCTTCTCCACAGCTCCTATCACTAGGTAAAACCAGCCTTCTCCACAGTTCTTGTCACTAGCTACAACCAGCCTTCTCCACAGCTCTTGTCACTAGCTACAACCAGCCTTCTCCACAGCTCCCATCACTAGCTACAACCAGCCTTCTCCACAGCTCCTATCACTAGGTAAAGCCAGCCTTCTCCACAGCTCCAGTCACTAGCTACAACCAGCTTTTCTCACAGCTCCGGTCACTAGCTACAACCAGCCTTCTCAATAGCTCCCGTCACTAGCTACAACCAGCCTTCTCCACAGCTCCCATCACTAGCTACAGCCAGCTTTCCTCACAGCTCCTATCACTAGGTACAACCAGCCTTCTCCACAGCTCCAGTCACTAGCTACAACCAGCCTTCTCCACAGCTCCTCTCAGTAGTTACAACCAGCCTCCTCCACAGCTCCTGTCAATAGCTACAACCAGCCTTCTCCACAGATCCTGTCACTAGCTACACCAAACCTCTCAACAACTTGTGCCACTAGTTACAAACAGGCCTTCTCCACAGCTCCTGTCACTAGCTACAACCACCCTTCTCCACAGCTCCTGTCACTAGCTACACCCAACCTTTCCCACAACTCCTGCCACTAGTTACACCAAACCTCTCCATAACTTGTGCCACTAACTACAACCAGCCTTTTTCACAACTCCTGCCACTAGCTAGATCAAACCTTATCCACAACTTCTGCCACTTGCTACACCAAACCTTGTCCACAACATATGTCAATAGATACACCTAACCGTTTCTACAACCAGCCTTCTCCACAGCTCTAGTCACTAGCTACAACCAGCTTTCTCCACAGCTCCAGTCACTAGCTACAACCAGCTTTCCTCACAGCTCCTGTCACTAGCTACACCCAACCTCTCCACAACTCCTGTCACTAGCTACACCCAACCTGCACCATACCAGGCAACATGCCTTCAACATGGGGAGGGTGCTTTGCAGATGAGGACAAGAACCTCTTATCCCACAACCCTGGCCAGGTAGTTGTAGGGGTCTGCGGGCAGGGGGTCTTATCCTAATCTGGGTGCCCCCTTTCATAAATGCGTAATGGGTGGTTGTTACCCCTACTAATTCACCAAATACAGTAAAATTGTAAATAAACATACAACACCGTAAAAAAGTCCTTTATTTGTAAACAAAAATACATCACAGTTTTTGATAAGTATTTATTATAACAACAACAAAAAATGTCCATGGATGTAATCCCTAGGTCCATCACGCTGTCCAGCGATGTAGATCCTCGTCAATCACGATGGTGGTGATATTTTTTTAATAAAAGGCTTTTAAAAAACCTGTCTTGTGGGTTTTTTTTATATAAAGGACTTTTTTCAGGGTGTGGTGTGTTTATTTACAATTTTACTGTATTTGGTGTATGTGTAGGAGCAACAACTACCCCTTACTCATTCACAAGGGAGGAGACGGCATCTGAGTGCCCCTTTATGAAAGGGGGAACCAAGATGCAGATAAGACCCCATAACCACCGAGCCAGGGCTCTGGGGAAGAGGCCTTTGTCCCTCCCCATGTTGAGGGCATGTGGCCTGGTATAATGCGGGAGGGGGGCCTCTCCTTTCCTGCTCTGCCTGGCTACTGCTTGGATCAAGGGTCCGGTGAGGGGTTTCAGGGAGGACCCCATGCTTTTTTTTGTTTTTTTTGCATTGGGGTGCCCCCTAAAATTCCTACCAGACCTTAAAAAATGTTAAATGTTTAACAACATAAATTTATGAATGAGGAATGAGATTTGGAAACAAATTCAGATGCATTCAAAATTTTCATTATCAAAAATTCGGATGCGTTCGGATTCATTATTTAATTCAGAAATTCGGATGCATCCGAATGTTCAAATACGCTGAAATTCGTCCGAATTTCAATTCGGAATGAAACAAATCATACATGTCTAATATTTTCATCCTGACCATGTTCCTCTTAATTTTATTATTAAAATTTAAAATATTCAGTTCACAGTAACCCAATAATCTTTCAAGATGTCCCCTACCCCATTTTTTTCTTTTTTACAAAAACTATGGCCAGTTTTCCTCCCCTTCTCAAACCAAAACCACAGGAAGTACACTCTATTATCTCCTCACACCAGATACTGTATGTGCTGTAAACAGGCTATTATAGTAGCTATGAACGAACAATATGGTATCTTACATTTTAAAGCTAGCAAGAAAATAAAGTACGTTTGACTTTGGGACCCAAATATTCCACTTTCAGAAGAAAAAAACACTCTTAGTCAAATTCTCACTTTTTAAATGAAATAGAAACTGTTCAAGATTTGTTGTCTAAACGTTTTCTCGAGAGAATCAATTTTCATGGGCAGTCCCCAAAAATAACAGGGAAGTTGTAATAGTGTACTGTTCATAATGACTGCATTGTATGAATGGTAGCACTGATATTTCAGAAATGAGGTCACAATGCACGTAGTATATTCATGAATTCTATTACGGTGTATGTTATTAAAGTATATTTAAAGACAACACTTTTGTTTAACTGTTGGATAGAGTAGAGAAGGATGGGGACCTCTGCCAGGTGTTATTGTTGACTGTGGAGATTTACCCTCTCCATTTGTCCCCGTGACCGCTGATGGGAAATCAAACATTTTACAGTCATCACCAGAACAGCAATACAGGAAAAATCTCCAAAGAGGACGCCTGTTCCTCTGACCAAGGTCTATAGCTGGGTATACACTCAAAGCTGAAGGGAAAAAAATCTACCAGAATCCATTTATTCTGAATGAGCCGCCAATGCAACTGAACAGGCAAAAAAAAGTACATACAGCACTTTTTCCCCAATATGGTGCACCACAGCGAACAATAGTGTGTTTAGGGGCCACCCTAGCCTTTTTGCCACGAGCATGGGGAAGGGGGGTTTGCAGGATGGTGCACAATCAGTGTGTTGCGGGTGGTGCTAGTGGACAGTGGCACAGCTTAGACCCAGGAAGGGAGATATTTAAGCGTTAAGAGCCAGGCGGGGAGATGTGTAAGGGCCATACACATCTCTGTCCCCAGCTCTTAGCAATCTAGGGCGCTCTGGACAGGCGACCTGCCAAGCTCATGGCAGCCAGTGACATCACTGGTGTTCTGACGAGATTAGCCTAAAGGCAGCCATTTTATGTATCTTAGTAGGTCAGAGGATTGCCATAGATTTCCAGAAACTTATGTAACCAATATTCTTGTGTAATGTTTCCTTGTCCACTCCTTTGGAATGTATATGTTTTGGGAGTATGCTTCTGCTCGTCATAATTAATTATACAAAATGTCAATCTATCCCAGTACCTGTCTGTACCATGCTATTCTACACACATCTTTTCGTTTCACCGTATAAAAACTTACAGCACTTTTCAATAAACAGAACAGCTTGATTACCAAACAAAACTGTTCTCTGCGTGCACACATACTGGATTTCAATGTATGACTTGGGTTCTGTCATAACACTGGTCGGCAGGAGCTCAGCAGAACCCAAACCAGAGTGTCCCAGGTTGTTAAGAGCTGGGCGGGGAGATGTGTCTGGCTCTTGGCAACCTAGGATGCTCTGGCAGGAAATGGGGCAGGAGGTACACTGCAAATATTGTGCAGCAGAGCAGCAATGCCATTCCGCTATTCGCCCCCCATGTGACCCAAAGAGAAGCTGCCTGAGGCAACAGCTTCAGACTGCCTTGTTATATTGTGACACACTCCCTATATGTGTTTTGGAGCTATATTGCCTTAAGACCTTGATGTGTCATTCAAAATGAATGGCACCTAAACATGCTAATGCATCCAATGCACAACAAACTTACATGGTAATGCAATGTACCAGATCACAGAAGTGTAAATGGGCCCTTCATTTTTGTACTTTTCCAAAGTGACAGAATCGCTTTAAACTAGCTAGCTGCTTGGCTGTCACGCTGGCCAACTGGCTTCAATAATTTGAGTTACTGACTTACAATATGTACACATATCAGTCAGAAGTCCTTATCTATATATTTGATCTGGAGCAGACTTAAAGTATTGAAGCAAAGGGAAGCATAACAGCCAGGCAACTAGAGGGCTCAGCATTGGCACCCTCCATTTTCTTATAATAAAAGTGCATATAGTCTATGGCAACCTCCAGTTTTTGTTCTCATACAGAACTATAGGAGTTAACGCATGAGCCATTGACCATGCCTTTACTTCATCATTCACGGATAT